GCTCAACTATATATACTACACATAAATAAATAATATATAAATAATGTTAATAAAAACCAACAGTTTCTTAAATTTAGCACAAATGTATTTGAATAGCCAAGGCATCTTTGCTTTCCAAATGTTTTACAGTGGATCTATAAAGCTAATGCAGATAATAATGTATTAACTTATTTATGTATTTTATTATTCCAATAGCCACAGGAAGTCATTAGGTTTTCGTGTTGGACTATCGGTGCAAAGGTGAACACATGAATTTCAGTAAAATGACGCTGCAAATCTGAATGAAGTATGAAGTATGAAGTATGAAATTTGAACATTAGTGGTGAAAGTATGCCAGCAATACACCAGGTTCACTCTGCAGCAGACTGAACAGGTTTGGGGCAGTTTCAAATTTCAGATTTATCAGTATCAGTCAAGCCTGGTCAAGTGTGGTCTCAAAAATTCAACACATGCCCTGTAGACCTCAACCGTGCACATCCATAACTGCTACTACTGTTTTAGTTATGCTACATACATTTCATTTACCACTGAACATACAGCTGTCTTATGACTTTGTATATGTAATGATGATAATGGTAAAATCAGTAAATCGGGGTAAATCAGAAAAAAAAGGTTTCTTTGTGGAAAAAACTGTCTTACAGTACCCTGTATGAATGTATTCTAAAACATTTCAGGCCAAAACATTTTCTTAAAACTACTATAAAACAATGTTGTGGGTATCCGGCAGGTAATGTCTGGTTCCTATCACTATCACTATTAACAATTCTGGCTCTGTAGGTTTTTCTGGAATACAGCATTTCACATCAAACCATGCAGAATTATTTTTCTTACATCTTAATAATTTAATTAGTTATAGATTTTGAAAAAATGGTGGAATTCCCCTTTAACAACTCAACTGGGTTTCAAGGCAAGTGCATGATTTAAGCATGCAGTTCTTACAATGCTAAAGCTAGGTTAAAAGCTTAGATGTTGGCCACATTAGCCTTTTGTAATACCAAATGTCCTTTGGCTGCATTTAGGGTAAGAGGAAAACTGTATATTATATTTTTTGGCAAAATATCATTTACTTGCAGTCTATTAACTGATTACAATGCACCTGACAAAATATAACAGTGTGAATATAACTCAATGAGAATTATTAGTTTTGATAACAATAAAAATTTAAAAATAATAATAACAATAAACATCTGTATCTCTTTCAACTGGAGTGAGATGCATGCATGTTTGTGCATGCATACACACACACACACACAAACACACACACAAACACACACACACACACACACACACACACACACACACTCACAAACACACTCCTTTTGCCCCTCCAGTCATGTCCTGTACAAATGCACTGAGGTGTGGTGGTAAGGGTTTAAAGAGCTTCATTGTTCCGGATCAGTCAACCTCTGCATCAGACTCAGGAGCCAGGAACGGAAAGAGGGATGAAAAGTGAAAAAAAAAAAGAAAAAAGGATGGGTACAAAGGCCTCTGCCTCCCACATCTGGTGAAGGAGGGAGGGAACAACACCAGTCCCTCCCACTCAGACGGAGGGGTTAAAAGAAGCCGCCATCGCGCCGCATGAAAAGCTGTTAAATGCTTCAGTGCTTTGACAGCATGCCATGGCAGGAAGTCCTGTGCTCCCCTGAGACCTGCTGCTTCTCTCTCAGCCATGCTTCTGCTCACAGAATATGGAGAATGAATACAGGCAAGCTAAATACTAATACCTATGCATACAAACATTGGGGCAAGTTTGAAAGATATCAGTATCATCTTATGGCAACTAACTGGGACTGTCAATTTCAACCATATTAATAACTGAGTAATCTATCAGTTGTTTTGATGAGTAATCAAGTCAAAAACAATGAAAATACACTAAAAGGGGACCTAAGGTAAAACATTCTTCATAATTAAATTGTTAGCCTCACTGAGTTGTTAAAGGAGAATTCTACTGTTTTTCTGTTTTTACCTAATTAAATGCTTAAGATGTGAAAAAGTCATTCACAGTATTTTGACATGAAATGGTCTGTTTTAGAGAAACTTATTGAGTCAGAACTGTTCAAAGTGATGGTGATAGGAACCAAATGTCCAAAGTGTTTAATGCCTCTGAAAGCTCCCTCAAAATAAGCTATATGGCATGAAATGGTAACAAAAACACTGTCTGATGCCTGAATCATTGCTGAATGTAATAAGTTGTATGATGTAAGTGCTTGGCCTAAAATGCATTTTTTTAAAATCCATCCATGGTAATGTAAGACAAAGCAAAACCCAAAAAACCCTTTTTTTCTCAGATTTACCACAATTTTATCATTATCAACAATACAGTACAAAAACTAAGTCACATGTAGGTTCACAGGTCATTTTGGACAGTAAATAAACTTTTTAACTTAATAACAACAAGCCAGGCAGTCTGTCAAATGCAATTCACAAATACGTTCTTGGAAAAAAAGATGAACTAGGAATCCTAGGCTCTTACTGTAAGAGAGATGGGTATTAAAATATGCATTATCATTATGCAAAACAAAGAACTTGATCGTGTAATCATGACAGCAAGAAAATAAACAATCATTTTACGCATGACTTATATGAGAGATTAGCTGCGTGGCTTGATTAGTTTTAAGGGCAGCTGGCACCACCAAGCCACTTAGTATATAAATTATGTATATAATTTGCATTAAAACTAGAAAACTACATATATATATATATATATATATATATATATATATATATATATATACATATATATATATATATGTGTGTGTGTATGTGTGTGTGTATACATATGTATATATATATATATATATAAATATATATATATATATATATACACACACACACACATATGTATATACATATATGTGTGCAGACAGTGCTCTATATTTTCAGTGTTTTTACATAATTTTACCCCAGGCTTCGAAGACAAGTGGCAATCAGATGATATCCAGTCACTGAGTAGGTAAATGACTGTGAATAGCACTCATTAAAATTCTCTAATAGCACAATAACAGTTTTAATCATTGAACAGGGCCTGAAGGCACATGGAACAATGTAGCATGTAAAAATTCTGAGTAGCTACAGCCTGCAAAAGAGTTGTGTGCCTGCATTACATGCTCACTGTGTCCACATTAGTAGGCGCACTGCCTCTGGTGGTTCATTTTAAGGATTATTGGGCTGTCTGCAGGTGTAGAGCTTGCCTTGCTACACCATGTTAGATTGTCGAATGGTTCTTTAGAAGCAAAGGCCAATTATCCAGCTTTACACTCACACCCACTTCAGCCAAGGTTTATGGCCAGGAAAGGAGTGCTGATCTGGCTAAAGAGCTGGATTAACTAAGGTGAATGAATTATAAAAAGAAAGTACTACAGCTTAATGTACATGTAATGTAAAACAAAAACATTTGAAGACTGTATAAGAGGAGTTTTATTCCAAAATGCTGTAGTTGAAAAAAAAAAGTTTGATATTAACAGAAAACACATTTTACTTCCCCTATGAAGGTGCTATTAATCATAACATAGCACTGAAAAGAATAGAAAGTGGTCTGTAATGTGTTTTGCAAGAAAAACCTTTATATTTTAAAATGCTCAAGGTTCTTAATGGTTATTCACCACATATAATAGTACAAAGATGGCTGTACTGTGTTGTTAAGACTATAGATCATCTGACATTCAATCCAGCAACTCTGCAGTTTCTAGTTCAGAGTCTTAAACACCTGAGCCAATCCTGGTCACAAGTTTGCAATTTTTAAGCACTACTGTAGTTGCCATTTTTTATGGAAACTATAAATGTAAGAAGTTTGAAAAAGTAACTTAGTTATTGTTAATGCTTATAGGTGAACTCCACCGATTTCCTATAGTTTTGTGGATAATGGAATCATTAAGATGTTAGATAGTAACCTGCACAGTCATTTGCATTTAAGCACACGTTTTTAGATCAAAATACCTGTAAAATTATGAAGAATTTAGGACTGGCCTAAATAACTTGTACTTGTACTCGAGTACTTGTTCATTATGTACATATTCAGTTCTATATATTACTCGAAAGCCTCATCCAAAATTGTAGGCTAACGAAAATTTCATCAGCAAAGGCCTTTAGATAGAGCAGTGATTGTTAATCTATAAAAGTAATGAATTATAGCTGGTTCACTTGCATCAAAAATTCATGCCACCCATTCACCATACCTTACCTCAGAGTGCGACAAACTGCCTTCTACATGACCACTGAAGCTATACAGGGAAAGATGCCTATGAGAAATCATGTGATGCATCTTAAATTATCAGAAAAACAATCAGCGTAAAATTTACAATAAGAGGCTGGTATGCCACGGAAATATGACAAGTTTGGTAAATCATCTCAAATATGTAAATATAATGATCCTTATCGGAGCACCACCATGGGTCCAATCCACACTGATTCCAGCTTCAGGCAGGAATATCAGCACTTGTTCTCTTTTTCTTTTCTAATAAAACAGTTTTGCATCAGGTTTAAACATTGACAGTACAAACAGTAGATGTGTCTATTTAGACAAAATCACAATCACATTTTTTTTTCTATAGCATTAGAGAAGAATTGCCTCCACACACTGTTAGTACAGCACTGAAGTTGCTTTGCTACTACCACACCAACAAAATCATCATTTTAGTAACTTATTATTTTGAATATAGTTTAGAACACTACAGAAAGTGGGAGAGTGTGATTTGACTGGATCTCTAAGGAGGTTATGCTTTGATCATGCAAGAAAAAAAAATGCAACAGGTCACAAGGACTCAGGGACTGAAGAATGTGGACGTGGAGAAACATCATTAAAATAGAAGAGTATGCTTTAAATGTTATTGTTTTTAAGTGTGATTTTGAGAACAAGTATTCAAATATATGTCTGGAAATAACAACAAGTATTCAAATCTCTTAAAATGCAGTTTAGTGGGTCCAAATTTAGTAAAGTATATGTATAATATATTTCTATTGTTGTCTATTGCACCAACAGCACAAGTGTAGTGCAGACTGACCTACTGCTGACTTCTTGCTGGAGCTCTTTCCTGTCTTTCCACTGTGTGCGGTGTTGTCCTTCAGCACTGCCTCCACCTCTCTCTCCATGAGGAAGCTCAGCTCCTGTGCCAGAGTGCTCAGGTAGGCCTGGTTGAGAAAGGTCAGGATGCTGTGTGGCTCGGCTATTCCATTCAGGACGTGGATCTCCTCGCTGAGCATGGCGCAGAAGGAAGGGCTGGCGGTCTGGAAGCCTAGAGCCAGCCTGTCAAAACCCCTCTCCCCACCTGGGCTGCATGCCTGGGTGCTCCGGAGCAGGCCCAGAACTCTCCTGCTTTGGAGAGCCTGGTACTTTACAAGAACCTCAGTTTCTGGGTGTAGGAAGGAGAGCTGCTGGAGGATGAGAATCTTTTGAGGAACTCTTGAGCTAATGATTGAGCCCTCCGCAGACTGGCCAGACTGGCTTGGCTCCTCTGCTGGCTGTAACTTGTCCAGCAGGTGACTGCGCAGCAGGAGCCGGACATCATCCCAGGTCTCCTGGACCTCCAGAGCGAGATCATCTCGTACAGAGCAGACCGGAGGGACAAGACTGTGGCCCTGCTCCGATAATGGCCCAGAACAAGGGAAGGCTACTCCACACTGAGACGAGATGTTTAACAGCAACTGCAGAACAGCCTCCTCACGAGCCTCCTGAGTCTTCAGCAAGTGTTGCTATTAAAAGAAGTTAAGACACTTAAGTAGACACTGAGATGGAAGTCACAGTTCCAGAAAGGTTTGTGGAACACAAAAGGAGTTAATGATGAAGACTGTATATTATAGTAGATCATTTATTCAATGATGTTTTTTTATTAAGAATACTTTATGTACACTGTATGGAAAGTGGCTGCAGATAAACTAATACAATAATTTTAATGTGCTAGTCTTTTGCAACTTCCTAGGTTAGAAAGCACAAAATAAATAAATAAAACATTTTAAGTGTTCCCAGAATAATGAAAAGAGCAGTAGCTTTAACATCCAGGATATTTCAAAAGTGATCAAAAGTGATCAAACCTTCATATATGATCAACATATGACATCTAAGAGATAAATTATAAGTCATGTAAAAACTTTTTTGTTAATTGACAATAGCTTTTATTGTTTTGAAAGTAAAAGTATGTAAAATATCACATTATAGATCTAAAACACCTTTTGATATATTTGGTATATTTGAAATAACAGCTTATACAGTATAGCATTTCAATCTACACTGCACTCTTAAAAATAAAGGCTCCTAAATGGTTCTTGGCTTGGATGTACAGTTCTAGGAATAAAACCTTTACACTATGTGGTAGATCTTTAAACTTCACAGAGGTTCTTCAAACTCTCATTTACGTCTCATTTATGTTCATGTATTGAAAGACTCTTTAGGGAACCAAAATTGGTTCTTTTACAGTATCGCTCTAAACACACTTTTTGGCACTTCTGGTAAGTTATTATTACATTAAATTACGTATCATTGCTGTCCAAAAAATATGTATCTCCAGAATGGTTACTTTACAAAAGAATCCCCTAAATATGTGATGTAAGAGATTTTATTCCAAATCATTTTGGAGCATTTCTATTCGTCCAGTCATCATTCAATTTTCACACAGTGTAAAGGACATCTGCTGTGTTAAAATGATTTAGAACAGTGTTACCAATCCCAGTCCTGATGAATCCATAGACATTTTTGAGCCTTGTCTCATCTTGCAAACCTGATTGAACCTGTTAAATAACGAGCAAGCTCCTGGTCAGCAGGGTCAGGTGTGTAGAGCAGGGAAAATACAAAAATGTGCAGAATGCATAGAGTCCCCAAGACTGGGATTGGAAACCCTGATGTCGAAAAACAAAAAATCTGGAAAAAAATTAATATAGGTGTTTTTGGACAGAAGTGAGATGTTAAAGCTACACTATGTAAGTCTTGGGGATTTGGAGGCCTCTCTGGTGGAAATGCATAATTGCATGCGATATGCGTAAGAACATTTCATAAAGTGGGTTGTGCTTCATACCCCTTCCCCAAGTAGATGAATCTGATGATTGCGAGTGTGCTGAAAAAAAACGCAGTCAAAACTTGGTAAAGGACGTGTCTTCTGACGATGTGAATGAATTATCTACTACTGCCATATCGTCTATACATACTATTGTCATATCCTCATCAGTATGTTGATTTTGCATTTGAGACCTAAACATTGAGCTCAAGCTTCTTTTTGAGCCTGTGCGTGTGATGTTAGTAAGTAAAAGTGTATGATGTGGACCAATAAAGGCCTGCCAAAACATGACCTGACTTTTAAATTGTTCTTGGCTACTTCTTTCAGTTTTAACAAAACTGAAAAAAGTAACTTACACAGTGCAGCTTTAAAATGCCATCAATCTATTATTGTAACAGGTTATAACAGTGAGAAGTTATAATAGTGAGAGATTACCAGAGCTTTGAGGAAGTCCAGCAGCTCCTGGTAGCCAGTAGAGATGGGTTTTAATGAACTCAGATTACGCTGACTGAACCACTGTAGACATTCTGTAGGGCTGGGCACTCTCTCTCCAATCCAGGCCTCTCCGATTTTACCCTGGAGCTCCCGCAGGTTCTGTTCAATACTACACACACACACACACACACACACACACACACACACACACACACACACACAGTTACACTTCAGTCCTGACATACAGCTCCCCTCCACCTCACCTCGCTTCAACCCACAACCCTGATCGAGACCCATCAGCCCTAATGAACACAGACATCAATATATTTGATGTCAGGCTAGAGTGTGTGCGTGTGTGTGTGTGTGTGTGTGTGTTCAGAGAAGTCTGATCCAGACTCGCAATAAAATGGCACGTCTCTTTCATCAACTCAACACCAGTAGAACTTCACCATAAGCACGCAGCATCAGCACTTCTGTCTGCTCTATATATGATAAATTAGACATGACATTCTCCAAATCTCTCCCTCTCTCACCGACACTCCATTACAATGCATAGCTTGTCTGTGTAAGAGCAAGCCTGACTCCAGGCCTATAAACAGCCTGCTGTAAACACTGCGCTGTACACAAGGCCAGATGCCTTCCAATGGCAACACATTAAATACCATTTCAAAGTGACGCATTTTTATTTCGTAACAAAACATATCACACATAAAGTGCTGTTAATTTTAACGATGTGCGCCCACATTAAGCCAAGGGAACGATGCGCATGTGTTGTGTCAGTGGGCCTCTTCCCTTGCCTTTATTTTCTGCTCCCAGGCAGGATTGCCAACAGGAACCCAGCAAATGTGTCTCATTTCGCTGTAAAGAGAAAATATGTGTGGGGATGGGACATGACGGTGGGGACAGACTGTGCTGGAGCAGCGATTCTTCCTGTTTCTGGGCTTTTAATGAATGGCCCAAAGCTCGCTGTAAAATCACTCCAGCTAACAGCCAACATAAACAGCCTGTTTTACCAGCTGAAGATGCTGCCTTCAAATTTGCACACACAACAAAACTGCTGCTCTTTATTGTGATTTTTTTTTTTTAATCTAGACTCTGAGCTACATGAGGACCAGATTCTCTACAGTTCTCTGGCTCACTGAAATTTGTTTTCTGCAGTTTACGATGTATAAAACTGATAAAATATATGCCTAAATGTAGGTTTCGGCAACACCAACTGGAAAAAAAAACATCTTTAAATTGCTCCATCATCAGAAAACACTATACTGTTTAGGGGTGGTGCAATATAATGATATGTTATTGTTATCGCAATAAATTATGCTTTTCTGAGTATATCATGGATGTTGTCAGTACTTCTAGAGCTTTCAACAAATGGACGTATCACAAAAAAGAGCAATTTCATAGAGTCTGTAAACAATAACAAACAATGTTTCAGAAGGGAATCCTCAGAGCCTTTAGAACAAGCCTAATGATTTCTGGAAACTGAAAAATACATGTTCGTAATTAAAAAAATATTCAATTAAATCATGCTTATATTTAAAGTCTGTAAGTATTACAGTACCACTATTGTTTCATTGTTAAGCTGGATGGAAACAAAACAGTAAAACTGTTGAATGCCAAGTGGAAAATCAGGCATTCTGGAAATGTTTTTATCTGTGCTATCTAGGTAGACATAGTCAGACAAGCTCTCATATTGGTTTGGACTTCAGGAGCTGAAGAGAAGTCCTGATGTAATAATTAAGATAATTAAGAAGTGACAAAGGAATCAACCAATCATGTCTATATTTCCAGTGGGACCAATTTCACAAGGAAAAGCATGACTCTGGGCCTTCTGGAAGTCCTAGATACTGACTGCATACGAGCGACAGCTTAATCAATGGGCTGTTAGAAACTGAAAACGGCAGCAGCAGCAGCAGCAGCTCTATACCAGAGCTCCCTATTGAAGAGTGTCTGTGAAACTGATACAAGGTAAAATATATGCTAATATATCTGTTTCAAGCTTAAGTAAGCCTCAACTGCCTGTATTTAACATAGAACTACCTTTTTCAAATTTTCCATCCCACCTTAAACAGAACTGCAATTACATTCTGGTGTCAACAAATTGTACGTTCCTCCTTAAAGGCTGCAGCAGTTACATCCTGTCCATTTCATGCCTTTTCAAAAAGTGCTCATGTAATGTGCCATTAGCTTGGTGCTAACTAACTACTAGAATCCTATAGGGATGCTACAAAGAAGTAAGAACAAGAGTTTAGACATTTATGGACGTTTTTCATAGCTTTCCTTTGTTAATATATGGTACTGCTGTTTTGAAAGCACTTGTTCTAAACATCCCAAAACATATCACGTGCCAAAAAACAAATTATGTATGAAAACATTACATTACTTCAGAACTAGTAGATATAATTTAATCACAGTCATTTATTTAAAGCATAAAGCAAGAAATAAGTCTCTTTACTGTTTGTCATAAAGCAGGATTTGTGCTCAGTGCTAAGGGTGTGTTAGAAACCACCGCAGGACTTTATTCTAACAGCCGGGTGAAAACGAGCATCCATCTGTGCCACTATCCAGCCCCACAGCTCCATAACCCACACACACACCCACACACACATACATACACACACACACACGCCTCTTTCACTTTCTATCAGAGTCACACACGTACACACACACACACACGCCTGGGTAATCAACATCACGCTTAGGTTGGAAGTGGCCAACAGACACTCAATGCTCCATCAGAAACAGGCTTGTTTTGACCACCCAGGAGGTTCAGTGTCACTCTGAGGGCAAAACTCTACTAAAGTGCTACCCAGGTAGCTGGAATACTTAATTTAAAATGGTCAATAGTGTTTAGGACCTAAAAGAGGACATACAGATGCAAGTGCAGGGGAAAGATGAGTCACAAAAATGCTGCAAATAGAAAATAATACTAGTAAAGCCAAAGCAAATGTGCATGCCTCATATGACTCTACCAAATTCAATCCCAATAAACATGAAACAAAGCAAGGACATTACAATAAATATTCAGGGGAGGCCAGAGAAAATAAAGCAACCGCAGCTACCCAGGTCTCACAGCACTAACTTCTCATCAGAGCAAATTCAGTATTTCAGCTAATACTTAACCATTTAAGGTCATATAAAAATGTGGCTATATATGCTGTTTAATCTGCTCTTCTTCTTCAATGAAATGATTACTAAATGTTTCTGCATTTATTTGATATGTACGGAGCCCCACTGATGACATCCTGTATAAGTAAAAATAATGCATGGCCACAACTTAGTAAGGCATGGGAAAAAGATAATTAAGTTGTGGCCACAATTTAGTAAGGCATGGGAATGAGATCCTAATGCATGGCCATGACTTAGTAAGACATGATCTCATTCACACACATTAATAAGGCATGGCCACACATTATTTTTATTTATATGGAATGTCACCAGCAGGGCTCCGTAGATATGTAAACATTATCCAAAAAAAAAAAAAATGTATAGATTTTTGTTAGTTTGTTTCACAAATTATATTTTTGAACAAGTAAACATTTGAATAGGAATATACTTAATACATTAGTCACGTTTCATTGTTATTCGCTAACCAATCCAAATTGCTCTGAATGAGCAGTCCAACAATAAAGAAAGCCTTGTGCATCTTCTACACAGTGATAGGAAACACAGTAGCTCACAGAAAGCTCCAATTGTATGGGCTGATATTTTGTAGATTTAATATTATGAATCATTAAGCGGTTTAGATAATGTATGTATGTATATGTATGAATCATTTGAATACTATTTCGGCCCTCAGGCATTTTGACAAGGCACAGTTTAAAAAAAGCTTGTACACTCCTAAAGTGGGGCCTTTAAAGGTGTAAATCTCTGATCTGGCAATGATTAGATTACAGTTCTTTAGGAAACGAATCAATGCATTGGGATTTGTTTCAATATGACTAAATACATCACTTTAGACCAGGAATGCACAACTCATATATATCATAAAGATAGGAATATTGTTATAACTTCCAAAATTGATTCAGTTAAATTGCCAACTTCAGATCCATAAATCAAAATAAATGAATGCATTTTACACTCCTACTATGAATTATTCAGTAAAAACTATGACTCTACATTTAGGAGACAAATCTGATTAAAGTAGAGAAACAGATGCCTCTAGACATGTACGATATGATACAATTAAGCAATTAACATCCTTCCATGTTCTGTGGCATGTATAAAAATGTTAAGCATGCCCAAGTGACCTCAATTTTAAGATGGCGGGTGGAAAAGAATTAAATATCTTTGAAAAAGGGTTCAGTATTGGGGCAGGGACAGCAGGAACTTCAGTCACAAAGACTGCTCAACTGGCTAGTGTTTCAATAGGAACAATGAGTATAAGAAATATCCACACAAAGATTTGTGGGAAAGACATCGGTAAATAAGGTTGGAAATTGTGGTCATATACCAACAGAACAGTACAGGCCTACATGCTTGAAATATCTCTATCCTGGTGCGAGTGGTCTCTTCCAGGATGGCTATACCCCCATTCACAGGACATGAGAGGACAATGAATGGTTTGATGAGGATGTACATCATGTACATTAAATACTATGGCTGTCACAGTCACCAGATCTCAACCAGGATGAACACATATTGGAGATTTTGGACTGTCATGCTAGAAAGCAGTCTTCACAACCATCATCAAAACAGTATATGAGAGAATATATTTTGTGAGAATGGTGTTCCATTCATCCAGTACAGTTCAAGGGACTTTTGAATTGGAGATGCTAAATTGCCCCTAGGTGTGTGTCTGTGTGTCTGCCCTGTGATTAACTTATGACCTGTCCAGGGTTTCCTGCCTTCTGCCCAATGACCGATTGGATAGGCTCCAGCACCACCACCCCGCCTTAATTTGTCACCCACCTGTATATATGGGTGAGTTGTGTAGTTATGAAAGTGAGGTGGTTTGTAATTACAGACCCTGTTGTCTGAATTGTCTGTCCGCATTTTTATAATTCACTGTAAGTCATACTGTATCCTAAACCACATCGACAAGCAACCTTAATGAAGATCTGGACGTGGTTTAAGTGGGTTGTAAGAAGTTTTGGTGATGTATTTTTACAGAAACAAATTGGACTATGTGGGTAACTATTGTGTTCTAGCATTTGTTTGCAATGTTAG